GGGGACTGTCGGAGAATGCAGCAGAATATAGATAGATTGGAGAGTTGAGTGGAGAAATGGCAGATGGAGTTCAATCCAGGCAAATGCGAGGTGATGCATTTTGGAAGATCCAATTCAAGAGCAAACTATACCATAAATGGAAAAGCCCTGGGGAAAATTGATGCACAGAGAGATCTGGGTGTTCAGGTCCATCATACCCTGAAGGTGGCAACGCAGGTGGATAGAGTGGTCAAGAAGGCATATGGCATGCTTTCATTCATCGTACGGGGTATTGAGTACAAGAGTTGGCAGGTCATGTTACAGTTGTATAGGACTTTGATTCAACCACATTTGGAATACTCCGTACAGTTCTGGTCGCCACATTACCAAAAGGATGTGGATGCTTTGGAGAGGGTGCAGAGGAGGTTCACCAGGATGTTGCCTGGTAAGGAGGGCGCTAGCTATGACGAGAGGTTCAGCAGATTTGGATTAGTTACATTAGAAAGACGGAGGTTGAGGGGGGACCTGATTGAGGTCTACAAAATCATGAGAAGTATAGACAGGGTGGATAGCAAGAAGCTTTTTCCCCTAGAGTGGGGGACTCAATTACTCGGGGTCATGATTTCAAGGTGAGAGGGGAAATGTTTAAGGGAGAGATGCGTGGAAAGTTCTTTACGCAGAGGGTGGTGGGTACCTGGAACATGTTGCCAGTGGAGGTGGTAGAGGCGGGCACGATAGCGTCATTTAAGATGTATCTAGACAGATACATGAATGGGCAGAGAGCAGAGGGATACAGATCCTTGGAAAATAGACAACAGGTTTAGATAGAGGATCTGGATTGGCGCAGGCTTGGAGGGCCAAAGGGCCTGTTCCCGTGCTGTAATTTTCTTTGTTTTCAGAGGGGAGGTCAACCTTCGCTTGAGAACAGATTGGGGGCTCGTGTCCAGGATCTGAACAGATTTAGAAAGATCTGAACAGATCAGAACAGATTTGAACAAATTTAGAGTACGAAAGGTCCCAGCAGATTTAAACAGACTTAGGGATTAGTGTCCTAGATCTTTGAATAAAACTTAGGTGAGAAGTGGAAAATCTATTTAACTTCAGTTGGAATTGGCTCTCAACATTGCTAAAGAGGATTGGTGGGGGGACAAAGTTGCTTCCCAAATTTGTCAAGAAAGTTCAGAAGACAGAAAAAAGTGATATTTTGAGAATTAGCAGAAAGGATAAAACGATAAACAATTTACATCATAAAGCCTACTCAGAAAAGGAATCCAGAATGCTATTACCTTAAAGATAAAATCTTAAGGCAGAAATAGAGACCTTGGCAGGTTAGTGCAGATGCGAAAGCTCATCAGATTGTGTGGCCAATAGAAACAAACAAGAAGTATCGCAGGTAGCACACAAATTACCTGTAGAAGGTCATCTCAGAGTGAGGAAGATACAGGCTAAGACACAGAAGCATTTCCATCGGCCTGGATTACATAAAGATGTGGTTGAAGAATTTTGCCGTACCTGTCACACATGTCAGATGGTAGGAAAACCACAGGCAATGATAAAACCAGCACCTTTTGATGCCAATTCCTGCTTTAGAAGAATGTTTCATGCGAATTATAATTGATTATGTAGGTGCCCGCTCTAAAACCAAAGGTGGGAACCATATTTGTTAACTATAATGGATGAGTCTACCAGGCTTCCGGAGGCAATTCCATTGCGGAATGTCAAGGCAAGAAAGGCTTTGGATGAGTTGCTTGCTTTCTTTATCCATTATGGACCACCCAGAGAGATTCAGTCAGACCAAGGAGTGGAACGGTGGCTCAGTGGTTAGCACTGCTGCCTCACAGTGCCAAGGACCCGGGTTCAATTCCACCCTCGGGTGACTGTGTGTGGAATTCTCTCGAAGCAACACAGGTTCAGAAGGAAGTGGAAGTGATGCTCTAAGAAGACATCCTGGAGACGAGTCAAGGCAAGTGGAGTTCGTCAATAATGTTGGTTCCCAAACCTGATGGTACTGAACAATTCTGCATAGATTAATCGGACAGTCAGTGCAGTGACTAAATCTGACTCATAACTCAATTCCAAGGCTGGAGGATTGTGTGGACTAAGTAGGACAAGCCATTTAGATTACAGAGTTGGACTTACTTCGCAGTTACTGGCAAGTACCTTTGTCAGAAAGAGCAAAAGAATTTTCTGCTTTTGTAACCCTAAATGGGCTATATCAATTTAAAGTAATGCCCTTTGGAATGAAAAACGCACCAGCCACTTTTCAAAGGCTTATAAACAGAGTTGTTGCAGGATTGACTAACTGAGCTGTCTACACAGATAACTTAATGGTTCCTAGCCATTCATCGAAAGATTACATGGAGCATTTGGCAGAGCTCTTTGCGAGACAACGGAAGGCAAAGTTGTTCATAAACGTGGTAAAAACAGAATTTGTTAAGGCAGAAGTCACATTCTTCGGGCACAACATCAGATACGGATCGATGACACTGAGGAACATCAAGACGAAGGCCATCAAGAAATTTCCAACACCATCCTGGAAGTAGTGCTACAATTTTTAGGAATGAGCAGATTCTGCAGGAAATTTCTACCAAACTTTAGCAGCATAGTTGCACCATTGACGAATTCATTAAAAAGGAACATAAAATTTTGGTAGACAGAACAATGCCAAGGGGCATTTGAAAATTTAAAAGCAGCATTAACCACAGCATCAGTTATAGCCACGCCAAATTTCTTGAACCCTTTTAAAGTCGCTATTGACTCAAGTGATGTAAGGGTTGGAGCTATGTTGTTGCAGGAGGATGATGGCAGAATTGAAAGGCCAATCAGTTACTTTTCAAATAAACTTAACCACCAGAAAACATATTCAACTATTGAGAAAGAGTAGAGTTTGGTAATGGCCTTACAACATTTCAATGCTTACATTGCAAACAATGCAGAGATGATGGTGTATACTGAGCACAAATATTTGACATTTCTGGAAAGATTTAAAGACAAGAACGTTGGATTATTTCATTGGAGTCTAATATTACAAGCATTTAATTTACAGATTGTACATGTTGCAGGTCGTGCAAATACTACCGCGGATGCTTTATTGTAAGTTCAAAAGAAAAATGTTTATGTAAGATAGAAACAGTAGTGCTCAAAATTATGTATATAGAATTAGTATAAAATGCATAACTCTAGATTAATGAGCTATAAAGTAAAGTTTAAAAAACGAAGCCATCTTTTCATAATAATGGTTTTTTTCTTAAGGGGAGAGGTATTGCGAAGTTGGGTAGAGAACTTGAGGATTGGGAGGCAGAAAGTTAGAATTTAGTGTTTGTAAAATTCTAGGGGGGGGGAAAAGCATTGAATGGTCCTTTTAAAAGATCAGGTGCTTTTTCTGTGCTTACAAATTTAAAATTGATATTGGTGAGGAGCAGCTTGAAAGCTAGCAAGAACACAGACAGCACCCAAACTGAAACATTTGTATCGAAAGTCCGTACAGTTAGCAGGCCAAGAAGCAGCTTTTACCAAGACAACAAGCTTGTGAATTTAGCCAATCAATTTGAACCAGGCACTTAGATACCAAAAACCTATTAAATTTAAATCTGATGGTTTTGACAACATAAGACCAATCATATTGTAAGAAATATTGATATGTCATCAAGGGTACAAAAAGAAGGGGGCAGTTGGACAAAATCCTAGAGCTAGCTGCCATCCGCCAAAGCTAGCTCTCAAGAGAGAATTGCTGGCTTTCTCAGTCTCCTCAGTGCTTTCTCTCTAAGGCATAATTTAAACAACAACGGTACCAACGGCACAACTAGTTAATATTTCTGACAGAAGAATCGACGGAGAAGGCACAGAACATTCCGGAAGACGCAACCTGGCTGTAATTTTGAGACTAAATTATATAAAAAGAAGAAGTGGGGCTTATATTTATTGGAACATTTATTCGGTTTGTTTATAGTTTAGTTAATTTGTTCACTGTTAGAGTTAGATAAATAAACTGTTACTTGTTGACTTTAAAGTGATTGTCAGGGATTTATTTTATTTAACCACTAGATGCTGCTGAAAGGCAAGTTACACCACTTATCACTCTCCTTTTACAGATTATGGGGCAAGGTGCTCCTCTTTGGGTGTTTCAGTTTTAGTTCTCGGGGTTGGGGGCAGGAGTGGGGGTGAAGGGTCAACCTTCGCTTTATAACACATATCAGCCATGACTTCACAGGATGATAGAGAAGGAAGATGATTTCTGCACCTGGATACTGCCAGACCAGTAGGTGCACATTAAACAGTGGTATTAGAGGGTACTGTTCGACCAACAGGTACACATTTTCAGATTTAGATTTTAATTGTCATGTACGGGGTACAACAGTACAGTGAGAAGTATACAATGTCACCATACATGGCGCCATCTTAGCTCCAAAATCTTAGTTAAGAGAAATAAATAAGTTAAAAAGTTCAGCACTACAGTCTTCTTGGCGTAACAGTAGAAAAATAAAGAAACAAACATTACACAGTGGCTTAAGAATGTGCTGCCTGGTAGAGTGCTGGATGCAGATTCCATATAAGGTTTCAAAAGAGAGTTGGATATATATTTGAAAGTAATGAATTTAGAGAGTCACAGAGATAGGGCAGGAGAATGGGACTAGCTGGATAGTTCTTTCAGGAGCCAGTACAGGCACAATGGGTCAAATGGCCTCCTTGTGTATTGTAAAAGTCTATGATTCTAAGGGGATACTGCCAGACACAAACAGGATAGTGTTAGAGACAAGACTGACCTTGTGAGAAAGACTTTGATGCTGAAGAGTAAGCATGTTCAGCACAGAAAGATGGAGTCGCTGGCCACACATGTGACACCACTTCCTCTGCTTTGATTGGAATCTCTTCATCACAGAATAGATTTGGTTCCAAGCTACCTGATGAGACACTGCTTGCACCATCCTGGGAAACAAAGAAAACTAACAGTTTGAGATCAATACTCAACACAAATATACTTTAGACTTTTGTTTACACAACTCACAGCCTATGTGGGCAAAATGCATTAGACACCACATCACAGAACAAGAACTCTTATATTATTGGACTTAAACAGTTCTCCCAAAGGTCATTAATTGTATCCTTTGACCCTTAACAACAAAGTAAAAATAAATTGAGCATAAGCAGGAAGAAAGGTGGAGTTAATATTGACAATGAAGAGTTTTGAAAGATCCCTCAAGGAGATTTCTGAAAACATGGATTTCATAGGATGACACTGGCAATATGACACAGAAACAAGCCATTCAGCCAAAACAATCCATGTCAATATTTTTGCCCTACTTGTGCTTACTCCCACTTTTCCTCATTAAAACCCATCATTATCGCCCACCATTTCCTTCTCACTGATGACATGAAGCTGGACAAGCCTATTCACTTCCCTTTGGGACTTTCATTCACTCATTGGGGAAACAAAGTTTCTTCTGAAACCCCATTTCTCAGTGAAATTCTTACACTGACCACTTCAGGTACTCTCTTCTCCACAAAACGAAACATTCTGTATCCACTTTATCAAGACCTGTCATCATTTTAAAGATCTCAATTTGGTCATTCCTTAGCCTTCATTTCAAGGAGAATAGAGATCCAGACTGTCAATCCTTTCCTGATGCGTGCATTCACACATTTCTGGTGTCATCCTTGTAAATCTTGGCACCCTCCATGCTGCCTCGATATCCAATTTACAATATAGTGTCCAGAACTGAACACAGTACACTAGGTATGAACTAAACAATTTCAGTACAAGTTTAGGCTTAATTCTCTACTTTTTAATCCTCTCCCTAAAAATAAAGCCTGTTGCTTGAATTGTTTTTCTCAAAAGCCTTGCTAACCTGTGACCTAATTTTAATGATTGATATGTTTACTTAACGATCCCAAGTGTGCCAACAGCTATACTAACAACCAACTTAGGATATCAGTAAAGCTCGTAACATAGCTGATTTACACATACTGCTAGTGACATACAGTCACATGCAGAGTCCCATTCTCTAAACAAATTTCTTTTTGAATGTGGGCTAAAATTGGACTAAAGCAGCTTGAATGTGAGAGAATGAAAAAACTAGAGGAGATGGCAGAAAAAGACAGGGAAAGGAAAATGGCAAAGAAAATGAAAACAGTGGAAATGAAAAAACTAGAATTGCAAAGGAAAACAAAAAGCCAGCAAATAAAAGCATAAAAGTGATACAGATTAAACAGGAAATGACAGAGGAAGAATTGGACAAAAAATTTGAAGTCCAATGAGGAAATATTTAAGTTTACACAGGTTTTAAAGTTCAAGATAAAAGATATGAAGGTATTCCTCATGTCATTTGACAAACTGGCTAGAAATATGAATATTCCATTACAGATGGAGAGTGTGAAGATAAAATCCAATACCAGGGTCCTGAACAAGGGGAACTACAATAGACTGAGGGAGGACTTGGCTAAAGTAAACTGGAAACAAAGATTTTATGGTGGGACAGTTGACGAGCAGTGGAGGACTTCCAAAGCAATCTTTCAAAGTGCTCAGCAAAAGTATATTCCAATGAAAAGGAAGGACTGTAAGAAAAGGGGTAATCTGCCATGGGTGTCTAAAGAAATAAGGGAGGCTATCAAATTGAAAGAGAAGGCATACAAAGTGGCCAAAAACAGCATGAAACTAGAAGATTGGGAAAACTTTAAAGGTCAACAGAAAGCCACAAAAAGAGCTATAAGGAAAAGTAAGATAGAACATGAGAAAAAACTAGCACAGAATATAAAGACAGATAGGAAAAGTTTCTATAAATATATAAAACGAAAGAGAGTGGCTAAAGTAAACGTTGGCCCTTTAGAGCATGAGAAGGGGAATTTAGTTATGGGATATGATGAAATGGCCGAGGCATTGAACAGGTATTTTGTATCGGTCTTCACAGTGGAGGACACTAATAACATGCCAGTAATTGACAAAGTGACGAAGGTAGGTGAGGACCTGGAAACAATCATAATTACGGAAGAGGTAGTGTTGGGCAAGCTAATGGAGCTAAGGATTGATAAGTCTCCTGGCCCTGATGGAATGCATCCCAGGGTACTAAAAGAGATGGCGGGAGAAATAACAGGTGCACTGGCGGTAATTTTCCAAAATTCGCTGGACTCTGGGGCAGTCCCAGCAGATTGGAAAACAGCCAATGTGACGCCATTGTTTAAAAAGGGGAGTAGACAAAAGATGGGGAATTATAGACCGGTTAGCTTAACCTCTGTAGTGGGGAAGATGCTTGAGTCTATTATCAAGGAAGAAATAGCAAGGCATCTTGATAGAAATTGTCCCGTTGGGCAGACGCAGCATGGGTTCATGAAGGGCAGGTCATGCCTGACAAATCTTTTGGAATTCTATGAAGACATTACGAGCGAGGTGGACAATAGGGACCCAGTGGATGTGGTGTACCTAGATTTCCAAAAGGCCTTTGACAAGATGCCGCACAAGAGGCTACTGCATAAGATAAGGATGCATGGCATTAAGGGTAAAGTATTAGCATGGATAGAGGATTGGTTGACTAACAGGAAGCAAAGAGAGTGGGGATAAATGAGTGCTATTCTAGCTGGCAGTCAGTGACTAGTGGTGTACCTCAGGGATCGGTGTTGGGTCCGCAATTATTTACAATTTATATAGATGATTTGGAGTTGGGGACCACGTGTAGGGTGTCAAAGTTTGCAGATGACACTAAGATGAGTGGCAAAGCAAAGTGTGCAGAGGACTGTGAAACTTTGCAGAGGAACATAGATACATTGAGTGAGTGGGCAAAGGTCTGGCAGATGGAATACAACGTAAATAAATGTGAAGTCATACATTTTGGTAGGAGCAATAGTAAAAAGGATTATTACTTGAATGGTAAAAAGTCGCAGCATGCTGCTATGCAGAGGGACCTGGGTGTCCTTGTGCATGAATCACAGAAAGTAGGTCTGCAGGTACAACAAGTAATTAGGAAGGCAAATGGAATTTTGTCCTTCATTGCTAAAGGGATTGAAATAAAAAGCAGAGAGGTTACGTTGCAGCTGTACAAGGTGCTGGTGAGGCCACACCTGGAGTACTGTGTGCAGTTTTGGTCTCCTTACTTGAGAAAGGATGTACTGGCACTGGAGGGGGTGCAAAGGAGGTTCACTAGGTTGATTCCGGAGTTGAGGGGGTTGGCTTATGAGGAGAGACTGAGTAGATTGGGATTATATTCATTGAAATTCAGAAGGTTGAGGGGGGATCTTATAGAAACATATAAAATTATGAAGGGAATAGATAAGATAGAAGTAGAGAGGATGTTTCCTCTGGTAGGTGAAGCTAGGACAAGAGGGCATAGCCTCAAGATTAGAGGGAACAGATTTAGGACTGAACTGAGAAGGAATTTCTTCACCCAGAGGGTTGTTAATCTATGGAATTCCTTGCCCAGTGAAGTAGTTGACGCTACTTCAGTAAATGTTTTTTAAAAAAAGGTAGATTTTTTTTGAACAATAAAGGAATTAAGGGATACGGTGAGAACGCGGGTAAGTGGATCTGAGTCCACGAAAGGATCAGCCATGATCTTATTGAATGGCGGAGCAGGCTCAAAGGGCCAGACGGCCTACTCCTGCTCCTAGTTCTTATGTTCTTATGAATAAGGTTAAAAGAGGACATTGCTTCTACAGATCAAGTTAATAGGCAAACCACAGAAAAATTTTGCCTCTGTCAGAATTATGATGTTGCAGAGAAAACTATATTGGCTTGGAATTAATGCCTAAGGCATATTGGCAAAGGCTTTGGAATTTAAGGAAATGGTCAGAGCAAACCTATATTGAATTTGAAATGCAAATTAATTTTGACATAGGTCTGAGCATTAGCAGGTTAACTCTATTACATCATATGTAGTTTATAGAGTCATCGAGTAATACAGCATGGAAACCGGCACTTCAACCCAACTGGTCCATGCTGACCATGATGCCCACTCAGCTAGTTCCAGTTGCCCGCATTTGGTCCATATCCCTCTAAACCCTTCTCATCCATGTACCTATTCAAATGTTGTTTTTTTTTGAAGTGTTGCTATTGTACCTGCCTCAATCACTTTCTCTGGCAGTCCATTCCACATACACATCACTCTGTGCATGAAGAAGTTGCCTCTCATTGAATCCCTACAGTGTGGAAACAGGCCCTTCGCGCCAACAAGTCCACAGCAACCCTTGGAGCATCCCACCCAGACCCATCTCCCTATAATCCACCTAAGCTACACATCCCTGAACACTATGGGCAATTTAGCATGGCCAATCCACCTAACCTGTGCATCTTTGGACTGTGGGAGGAAACCAGAGTACCCGGAGGAAACCCGCGCAGACACGGGGAGAATGTGCAAACTCCAACAGACAGACAGTCACCAGAGGGTGGAATCAAACCCAGGTCCCTGGTGCTGTGAGGCAGCAGTGCTAACCACTGAGCCACCATGCCGTCCTTCTTAAGTCTTTGCCCTCTAGTTTTCAATTCCCCATCCTTTCGAAAAGATTATATGCTTTCATCCTATCTATGCCCCTCATAGTTTTATACACCTCAATAAGGTCACTATTCCTTGGAACGTAGGAGAATGAAGGAAGTCCTATCCTGGCCAAACTTTCCCTATAACTCAGGCCTACGAGTCCCGGCAACATCCTCAACAATGTTCTTTGCACACTTTCCAGTTTAACTGTGTCTTTCCTTTTACAGAGTGACCAAAACTGTACACAATACTCACCAACAACTTATACAACTGTAACATAATGTCCCAACTCCAATATTCAATGCCCCAACTGAAGGCTAGCATGCTAAATGCCTTCATCACCCTGGCCACCTGCGACGCCGCTTTCAACGAACTATGTACTTGTACTCCTAGTTCCTTCTGCTCCACAACACTCCTCAGGACCTTATCATTTACTGTACAAGTCCTACATTGGTTTGACTTTCCAAAGTGCAACATCTTACACTTATCTGCATTGAATTGCATTTGCCAATTCCCAGCCCACTTCTCCATCTGATCAAGATCCCTTCAATTTTTGATAACCTTCCTCGCCATCAACAGTACCTCCTAATTTTGTATCAAAATGACTAATCATGCCTTGTACATTCACATCCAGATCATTTATGTAAATAACGAATAACAAAGGTCCCTGCACCAACCCCTGTGGCACACTGCTAGTCACAGGTCTCCAGTCGGAGAAACAACTTCCAATCATCACCCTCTGCTTCATACCATTGAGCCAATTTTGAATCCAATTAGCTAGCTCTCCCTGGATCCCATGCGACCTAATCTTTATGACTAGCCTGCTGTGTGGGACCTTGTCAAAGGGTTTACTAAAGTCCATATAGACAATAACCGCTGCCCTAAACTCATCCATCCTCTTGGTTACCTCTTCAAAAAACTCTAAAAGATTTGTCAGACATTACTTCCCGCGCACTAATCCATGCTGACCACCCCTAATCAGACCGTGACTATCCAAATGTTGGTTGATCCTGTCCCTCAGTATCCTCTCCAACAACTGATGTCAGGCTCACGGGCCTGTAGTGCCCTGACTTGCCTTTGCTGCCTTTCTTAAACCATGGAACAGCATTAGCCACCCTCCAGTCTTCTGGAACTTCACCAGTGGCTAAAGATGAAACAAAAATCTCTGCAAGGGCCTCTGCAATTTCTTCCTTAGCCTCCCACAACGTCAGAGAATGGACTTGATCAGGCGCAAGGGATTTATCCACCTTAACACGTTTTAAGGCTGCAAACACTTCCTCTCTGTTAATATGTATGCTGTCCAAAACATCCCCACTTGTTTCCCTTATTTCCTTGAGTTCTGGGAGGATATCTTCCCAGAGGAGTTTAAAAACTCACTTTCTGTAGTAAGAATGTATGTTGAGGACTAGCATTCCCTCTAGTTCTCTTTCTGGCCGAGCTGGCCACTGAGGTTTGTGTGTGGCAGCGACTTCTGGAACCAGAAACCATTGCTAACGCCAACTATCGTGTACAGAACCTTAGAGCGACTACATATGCAGACAGCCTTGCAGCTTGGAGGAAACTTTGTTGAGGACCAAAAGGATTGCAACCATCAGACAGGCAGCAATAATGGCCAATGATTATGAGGTTTTTTCCTCTCATTCATTCACAAGAACTGGGCATACTGGTTAAGCCAGTCATTTATTGCCCATTCATAAGTGCCAAGACCAAGTAAGGACAGCAGTTTCTGAAAGGACATCAATGAGCCAGATGGGTTTTCTTCCCAACAATCAGCAACGATTTCATGGTCATCAACAGAATTTTGAATTCCAGATTTTTTACTGAATTCAAATCTGTCATGATGGGAGTCAAACTCAGGTCCCCAGGAATTATCTAGGTGTCTGGATTAATAGTCTAGTGATAAAACTGAGCCATCAACTTCCCACAAAATTAAACCTTTATTCCATTACCTGTGACTCCAGTTTTGGTAGGACTCCTTGCTGCCACTTTAGGTCAAATGCTGTCTTGATGTTAAGGGGAGTCATTCTCATCTCGCCTCTGGAATTCAGTTTTTTTTTGGCTAAGCTTGGATCTGGTGTATAACTTAGTCTCCCTGTTCCTGTTTCATTTAAGTTGTTGTAGCCTTTGTTTTGCAGGGAACTCTATCAGTATCCTGTGGCTCTCGTCATAAGAAACAAAAATGGAAATTGCTGGAAAAGCTCAGCAGGTCTGACAGCATCCGTGGAGAGAAATCAGAGTTATCGTTTCAGGTCAAGGGACCCTTCCTCACAATATAATTCTCCTCATAAGTATGTGTCTAATCTGTTTCCAAACCTCCTTAAGCATTCACTGTTTCACCCAACAATCTTAAATTCCTATCTATTTTCGGGGAGTTGAAACAGGAAAGTGTTCTAATAATGTTAAAGACAGTGGATTTTTGTTTTTAAAACACAGCAAGTGATAATAACGATGAATTCATTGTCTGTGACAGTAAAAGCTGAGACATTCAATGATTTCAAGAGGAAACGGATTGGACTTGAGGAAAAATAAACTTGCAGGTCTCCAGGGATAGAAAAGGGGATGAGATTGATTGGACTTGCTCGAAGAGAAAGCTGGCATCGTCTCGGTTGGTAGAACGGCCTCATGCTATTCTGAGATGTACAGGATATAGTTATTGAAAATATAATGGAGGAATGGAGCTGCTTAATTCAATGGACATTACATCTTTTACTCATTAGACTAATAAGAGGACAAAAGCCCAAATAGTCCAGTTAGCATCAAATCACCTTTTGCTGACACTATTTGGATTCCACAATTAGCGATAATTTCCTCCAATATTTTGAAATGCGGAATTCTTCTGAACTTAGTCAGCTCAGGATTCCTCAGAGGGAGCAGCAGACAGAATCCACACACAGGCCTGCAGCAATTCCACTCCTCCCCAGTCTAAAACCGACTTACTTTTCTCTCGTAGCGGTATGCATCTCTGATATCATCATCCGAATCGGTCTCTTCCTCATCCAATTCAATAGATTTTCTGGGCGAGTTTGCCAAACTCCCCATGCTCCTGCTGAAAGCAGATTGTTGGACACTCTGCAAATGCTCCTGGAAAAAAATAAGACCAACTCCTCTGTCAGATAATTTCTTAACATCATCTCGTTTAGATATCAATACAAAACAAAATTTGACATTAAGCCAAATAAGGAGCTATTAGGAAAGATAGCCTAAAGCTGAATTAAAAAGTAGGCTCTAAGGTGACCTTTAAAAAGGAGGAAAAAAAGATGTTGAGAGGCAGAATGATTTAGAGGGGAAACTCCTGAACCCACGGCTTGGGCAGCTAAAGACAGGGTCATCAGTAGTGGAAATGTTAAACCAGAATTGGTAGTTAATAGATATCCTGCATGGTTTGAAGTAGGGGTAGGCTGTATGGCTGGACGAAGTTATAGAGAATCAGGAGGAAACAGGCAATGGAAAAGAAAATTAAGAACAAGAATTTTAAAAATCAAGATTTTCCTTTCTTTTGAGCCTCTTGTGCGGCAACACCAAAACCAGAAGATATTGCTTAAAAAATTAGACGTTGACCTTTTAGGACAGAGATGAGGTGAATTTTTTTTTCCTTGAGGGGTTGTGCCACTTTGGAACTCTTTGCCTCAGCAGTCAGGGTCAATAAATATTTTTAGAGACAGTGGTGGATTCCTAACAGGAATCTGAAGTTTACAGCAGAATGTGGAATTCGGGAACAGATCAGCCATGATCTCATTGAATAAGCCAGTAGCCTTAAAAAGGGCCAAATGGCTTATTTCTGCTCCTCACTGATATGTTCCTATCTAGCGCCAGTAGCACGGGGAAGTTGGGTGAATGGGATTTGATTAGTTAGGACTGAGATAGAGTTTTGAATTATTCCCCACAGCATAAAACTATGGAAGCAGGCAAGTAATTTATTCAAATAACCAAGTCTTGAGATAAAGTATACAAAAATGAAGGTTTCAGCAGCACATAAGCTGGCGGAGAAGTCAAGTCAGTCATTGTTACAGGGATAGAAATGGGTTTTCTTGGTCATAGTATGGACATTTGGTAGGTAGTTCTGTAAAGGTACAATTTCCAAATCTGAAGAGAACTGTTGCCTCTGACAGATAATATTCATCCCGATTGTGCCTTGTTTAATAAGAGTTCAAAGGGGGAAAAGGAAATGAGGGAATATGAGATGAAACTTGCAAGTAACATGAAAGGGAGTGCAAATGATTTCATTTAATTTGTAAAAGTCTTTTAAGTACCTGACTTGTCACCACCTTCCACTCAGAAAATGACCCATTTATTTTGCCCACGTTTCTGGACGTTAACCTGGGATTAATTTTCTTCGAGGAGACTAAGGAACAATGACAGATATTTAATAAAATAGTTTGCGACTCACAGCAATCGAATATATTCCAGTGAGGAATGAAGACTCCTAGGAAGGGGATAAACCCACCATGATTAAGGAAGTTAAGGATAATACCAAATTGCAGAAAGATGATTTCATTTTGTGGAACAGTCTGATACAAGGGGGCTAATATCAGACCAATGGGTCACCTATTTAAAATAGATTTGAAGAAGAATTTTTTGCTTCTGGAGGATGGTAAATCTGTGTAATTCTTTATTGCAGAGGTCTGCCAAGGCTGGGTCTTTAAGTATATTCTAGGTTAGATAAACATTTTAAATCATTGAGAGAATGAAGGCATAGAATGGAATAGAATGGTATAGAATCCCAACAGTGTGGAAACAGGCCCTTTGGCCCAACAAGTCCACACCGACCCTGGGAGCATCCCACCCAGAACCATCCCCTGATAACCCACCTAAGCTGAACATCCCTGGACACTATGGGCAATTTAGCACAGCCAATCCACCTAACCTGCACATCTTTGGACTGTGGGAGGAAACCAGAGCACCCGGAGGAAACCCACGCAGACACAGGGAGAATGTGCAAACTCCACACAGACAGTCGCCTGAGGGTGGAATCGAACCCAGGTCCCTGGCACTGAGAGGCATCAGTGCTAACCACTGAGCCACCGTGCCACCCCTGAAGGGTTGAGAAAAAGCAGGAAAAATGGAGTTGAAGGGTTGAGAAAAAGCAGGAAAAATGGAGTTGAGGGTCATCAGATCAGCCATGATCTCACTGAAGGTGGAGTAGGCTCAATGGGCCAAAATTGGCTTATTTCTGCTCCTACATCACATTGTTTTCTGGTCACTTCATTACCCAGGTGCTTGTTTTTTTTTTTTCTTTACCTGTAAGTCTGGATTGGCTGCTGCCTTCTGCAACTCAGCACTAATTATTTTCTCTGTTTTCTCCCTCGCTGCCTGTTCCACCATTCGCTGGCTTAGCACAGACAGTTTTGCAAGTGCAGAAGACAGCTCATCTGTGGCCAGGGCTTGCCTGGCCCGATCCTGCCAGCTCATTGCTCTCTCCGTCAGACACTGCAAGGCATCTCCTTCTGGTAAACGCACTGGAAGCTTCTGAAGAGAAACGAGCAGTGAAAGAATGGTCTCAAGCCGTGGCCTTCGAGAGCGCATACACAGTGGGCACAAGAATTTCACTTCTTTGGTTTGCCAGCCCAGTCCTTTTTTCTGTGTGCCAGTTTTGGGCAGAGGAACGCAGGTGCTGTGGAACCAGTCTTTACAAAGTTCACACTGTAGCATAAATCCACTGGCTATTTTGCGACAGACACAGAACTTGATTTCTTCAATTCGATCCACCATTGCCATTTTAGCCAGGTTTGCTGCTCTCAAAGAATGCATTGCCTCACACTCCTTTTGTTCCATTGCACGGAAGCCTGCAATCTGAAGAATGTCGAAAGAATTTTACAAAAACACATTGACACACAACTTATCAGTACTGACAAGACTAGGGATATAAATAGTAAGTAATATCAGCAATTTCATTAAGAGTTAAAAATTAAATTTCACTGCATAACAAGAAATGACCAACAGATCAGTGAAAACTTCCAAGTTTTGAATAATTTTGGATATTTTATAATAACACACAAATTAAAAACATCAACTTTGTTATATTCACAATGGGATTTAAAATAAATGAACACGAGTATATAGTCTGGATTTTAACAAAACGTGTTAAGGGAATAATCATAATTTGGTCATCTGTAAATTTTGTTAAGAAAGGAGAACTCTAAATCTACAGAAAGAGTTAAAACTATTTTCTACCACTGTTTTATTCAGTCCTTATCTGGCATGAATGGGCTAAATTTCAAAAGCAAAAACATAATTACACATATTTCACACTGACGCGATTAAACACATCAATATCTGGAACAGTTCTGGGGAGATATAGATATTTTCACAATCAAACTGTTCAGAGATGTCATTACACCATGTGCAGCAGGTGGGACTTGACAACAGGCCTCCACAACCCAGAGGTAGGGACAATACCACTGTGCCACAAGGGCCTTTCTGGGGAGTTATAAATTTTTTAAAAATCACCTATTTTTCTAACCAACCTGTTCAGAGACATTATTACAAACCTCTGGAGCAAGTGGGACTTGAACCCGGGTCAATCAGTTCAGACAGAACGACACTACCACTGCACCACAAGAGCCCTTCTGGCGAGTTATATCTGTCCAGGGTAGATGGGTAGCACGTGAACAGAACCAGGCCCTCGTTGAGTAGTTTGTTAATTCAGTAGAAGGATGAGCCAGGAGGTAATATTAGTGAAGAAAAAAGTGAAAAGGAGGTGGGAGAGCCCATTAATACCAGAATAAGAAACAGTGCTGTACTAATGTCAAAATGGACATTTTTGAGACTTTTCATTATCAGGATAATTTGTACAAACATCAATTCAAGAGGAAAATCATCATTTATAATGCATTAAAACAGAGTACAATCTGGCTGGCAATTTGACTTTGAGGCAAAGGAATCGCTAATAGGAATTTTCTTTTATTCATATATGGGATGTGAGCATTGCCAGCTGGCCAAGATTTATAGCTTGAGGAGGTGGTGATGAGTTTCCTTCTTGATCTGCTGCAGTCCACCTACTGTGGGTTGACCCACAATGCCATTTGGGGGGGGGGAATTCCAGGCTTCTGATCCAATAACAGTGAAGGAACAGCAATATACTTCCAAGTCAGGATGGTGAGGGGCTTGCAGAGGAACTTGCAGGTGGTATTGTTCCTACCCTTGTCCTTCTAGATGGAAGTGGTTGTAGGTTTGGAAGGTGTTGTCTGAGGATCTTGGGTGAATTTCTGCAGCATATCTTGTTGATAGGACACACTGCTACAAGACTTGTTGAGGGAATGGATATGGTGCCAATCTAGTGGGCTGCTTTGTCCTGGATGATGTAAAGATTGAATGTTGTTGGAGTTTGGTAAGAAGTTAAAAAGCAGAACCTCAAGGGTAGTGACCTCCGGATTACTCTCAGTGCCACATAACAGTAAGGATAGAAATAGAAAGATAAGCCAGGTGAACGTGTGGCTGAGGAGCTGGTGTAGGGGGCAGGGCTTTCAGTTCCTGGATCATTGGGATCTCTTCTGGGGAAAAGGTGACCTGTACAAGAGGAACAGGTTGCACTTGAACCAGAAGGGGTCCAATATCCTTGCAAGGAGATTTGATAGTGTAATAGTGGGAGAGTTTAAACTAGTTTGGCGGCAGCAAAGTTGTGGGGTGAGTGTGGAGGTGGGGGTACTCTGATTAAGAACAGAGCCATTGAAAAAGTCAGGGGAAAATACATCAGCTGTTGAGAGCACGTTTACTTTTCAGGATTGCCAGGGGCACAGTAAAGGGCAGGAAAAGACTTCTGGTTTAAACTGCATTCATTTCAACGCACAAACCTGACTGATAAGGCAGATGAACTCAGAGCATGGAATGGCTCTGGGGAATGGAATATTATAACCATAACAGAAACATGGCTGGGAGAAGGGCAGGACTGGCAGCTCAATGCTCCAGGATACAGAAGCTACAGGTATAACAGAAATAGAAGTAAGCAAGGAGGGGGAGTGCCCTTGTGATGAGGGCGTACATAACAAAAGTGCTTAGACAGGATATTCTTAAGGGGTCATCAAATGAGGCCATATGGTTAGAACTTGGAAACAAGGGGATGGTCACTCTGTTGAGACTGTATTATAGACCACCAAATAGCTAGCGGGTACGAGAGGAGCAGATGCGTACAGAGATTGCAGGTACCTGTAGGAATAATAGATTAGTGTTGGTTGGAGATTTTAATTACCCTTGCATTGACTAGGCCACCCAGAGTGTAAAAGGCCCGGGTGGGGTGGAATTTGTCAAATGTGTCCAAGAAAGTTTCCTAAATCAATATGCAGAGGGCTCTACTTGGGTGGGTGCAACACTTGACCTCCTCTTAGGAAACGAGGTCGGGCAAGTGACTGAAGTGTCAGTTGGAGAGCATTTTGGGTCCAGTGACCATAACTCTCTTAGTTTTAACATAGTTATGGAAAAAGATAGGACAGGTCCACAGGTTAAGGTGCTGAACTGGAGCAGGGCCAATTTTGGGGCCATTAGGCAGGATCTAGCAAAGGTCGACTGGGTCAGTCTGTTTGAAGGAAAAGGAACAACTAGCAAATGGGAGGCTTCTGTAAGTGTTATATCAAAAGTCCAGGGACAGCATGTCCCTGTGAGGGTGAAGGGAAAAGCTGGCAGGTTTAGGGATCCCTGGCTAATGAGGGATATGAGGCTCTGGTCAGGAAAATGGAGGCGGCATACATTGGGTTTAAGTTATAGGGCTCCCAAGTGAATCCCTAGATGACTATAAAAAAAGTGTACGAGCACACTCAAAAGGGAAATCAGGGGAGCAAAAAGAGGGTATGAGATGGATCTGGCAGATAAGGTTAAAGATAATCCCAAGGGGTTCCATTGCTATACTAAGAGTAAAAGGGTGGCTAGCAAGAGAAATCAGCATGGCTGTCTATGTGTGGAACCACAAGCGATAGGGGGAGATTTTTAATTAACATTTCTCGGTGTTTACGGAGGAGAGAATCAAGGATGCGAAGTAAATAAGGGAAAAAAGTGGGGTTGTTTTGGACTGCATACGTATTACCAGAGAGGAGGTGTTTGCAGCCTTAAAGTGCATTAAGGTGGATAAATCCCCTGGACTTGATCAAGTCCATCCTCGGACAATGTGTGCGGCTAGGGAAGAAATTGCAGAGGCCTTTGCAGAGATTTTTGTTTCATCTTTAGCCACTGGTGAAGTTCCAGAAGACTGGAGGGTGGCTAATGTTGTTCCATAGTTTAAGAAAGGTAGCAAAGACAAGTCAGGGAACTACAGGCCAGTAAGCCTGAAAGTCAGTAGTAGACAAGTTGTTGGAGAGAATACTGAGGGACAGGATCAACCAACATTTGGATAGTCATGGTCTGATTAGGGATAGTCAGCATGGCTTTGTGCGCAGGAAGTAATGTCTGACAAATCTTTTAGAGTTTTTTGAAGTGGTAACCAAGAGGATGGATGAGGATAGGGCAGCAGTTGTTGTCTATATGGGCTTCAGTAAACCCTTTGACAAGGTCCCGCACGGCAGGCTAGTCATAAAGGTTAGGTCGCATGGGATCCAGGGAGAGCTAGCTAATTCAAAATTGGCTCAATGGTAGGAAGCAGAGGGTGATGGTTGGAGACAGCAACATTTAAAAAGCATCTGAATAGGGACATGGATGGGAAGGGTTTAGCGGGATATGGACCAAATGCAGGCAACAGGAACTAGCTGAGTGGGCACCATCGTCAGCATGGACCAGTTGGGCCAATGGGCCTGAATCCATGCTATATGACTCTATGGCCCAGATTAGGCATCACCGAGTGGTTATTGCTGAGCAGGTGCTGCTTGACACTGTTGATAATACACTGATGATCGAGTAGATTGATAGGGCAGTAATTGGCTGGGTTGGATTTGTCCTGTTTCACTTGTACAGGACATACCTGGGCAGTTTATCCACATTGTTGGGTAGATGCCAGTGTTGTAACTGTGCTAGAAGCACTATATACTCAGGAGCTAGTTCCCCTGGGAGTCTTCAACATTGACTCCAGGACCCCCTGCAGTCTCATTCGTAAGAAAGCCTCCTGGTGGCTACCAGGGGAGCAGCATGTTCTGGAGGACAGCTCTTCAGTACTATTGCTAAAATGTTGTCAGGGTCCATGGCCATTGCATTATTTAGTGTCTCAAGCTATTTCTTGATATCACACGGAGTGAATTGAGTTGGCTGAAGACTGGTATCTGTGATGCTGGGGACCACTGGAGGAGGCCACGATACACTGGCACTTCTGGTTGAAGATAGTTAAGAATGCTTCAGCCTCATCTTTTGCACTGATGTGCTGGGCTCTTCATCACTGAGGATGGGGATATTAGTGGTGTCACTGAGTTGTTTAATGGTCTACCACCATTCACAACTGGATGTGGAAGGTCTGCAGAACTTGGATCATTGTGAGCTTGTTTAGCTGAGTCTATCATTTGCTGCTTTATGATGTTTGGCATGCAAGTCGTCCTTTTGATAGCTTCACCAGGTTGACACCTCATTTTTAAGTATGCCTGGTGCTATTCCTGGCATGCCTACTTGCACTCTCTCCTGAGCCAAGGTCAATCCCTGGCTTGATGGTAATGGTAATGGTTGAGGGGGAGATATGCCAGGCCATGAGGCTGCAGGTTCTGCTCAAGGACCATTGTGCCTAATGGATGCCCAGTCTTGAGTTGCCCGACCTGTTCAAAAAGTCTGTTCTATTTAGCATAGTGATAGTTTCACACAATGTAGTGGAGGGCATTATCAATATAAAGGCAAAAATTTGATTTCACAAGGACAGTGCAGTGGTTGCTCTTACTGATAATGTTGTGGAC